TAAATATAAATTACATAATTATAAACAATTGTCAAGTTATGTATTTTAACATCAGTATTATTTTTTTCTTTTGTATCTCATAAAAATATTTCTTTAAAAACAATTAGTAAATTGTTTTAATAGCATAGTTAAACAACTTTAGAATCTTATAAACAATTGTTTTTAATAATATATATATATATATATATATGTATATATATATATATAATTGCTAGCTTAGCATTTAATTTTACCTATTTAATAAAACCTCTAAAATTTTCCCTCTATTTTCAGTTACAAAATTTATCATTAATATTTTTTTACTTCTCACATTAACACATCCTATTAAGTGTAATCATATATTTTTCTATTATATTATATAATAGTTATTGCTAATACAAACTAATAATAATTCACAATAAATATAAATAACATAATTATAAAAAATTGTTTCAAGTTATTTATATTAACATCAATATTATCTTTTTCTTTTGTATCTCATGAAAAAATTTCTTTAAAAATAATTAGTAAATTGTTTTAATAGCATAGTCAAACAACTTTAGAAGCTTATAAACAATTGTTTTAATAACAATAATAATAATAATAATAATAATAATAATAATAATAATAATAATAATAATAATAATTATAATAATAATCAAACAGTTATTATCTAATGATAATAAATAATTGTTCATAATAATAAAATCGTTAGTTTATTTTTTCTAATGATCAAATTTTTGAAAATGTAATATGTTCATTATCTAGAATTTTAATATTAAATTCTTAAATATTACTTAATAATATTTTATGTACATCTGTGCATGTGCACAGGATATCTACTAGTTTTATAGAAAAGACAAAGGGGTCATTTAAATAAATATGACCTTTGACTAGGTCACTTAAATAACCATCCCTAGTCTATGTGTTGTCGTCTGTGTTGTGTGGGTTGTATTGATTAATCTCTTTAGGGAAGTGTATATACTCTCTTTCGGGAGAGTGTATTTTGTACTTGTGTGGGCTTTTTATTTTATATTATTTTATTTTTGAGTTTCTGTAGTGTGTGTTGTGGTATCTAAGTTACTCTGAGTAGTCCTTCAATTCTGTCTGGTTAGTCGGTTGTAATTATATGTTTTAGGAGAAATGCTCACCTACCCACGGTATCTAGGGTAGCATCTCCATATGTTTTAGTTAATGAACTTGTCGTTTTGGAAAAAAATAAAAAAATAAAAAAAAATAAAAAAAAAAAACAATACTATAATGAGAAAGCGTAAAGAGTGTTTGTAATGCGTATATGGGTAAAAGACAATATGTAAATTTGACAAGTGATCGTTTAAGCAGATGAAATCAGATAATTTATTGTTACAAGGTTAGACGAACCTTTTCCAGATAATTTATTGTTTTTTTAAAATCCGAGATTGTGATGTATAGTGGGAGTTTTTTTTTTGTGTGGTGTGTGGTTGAAAAATGTTATGGTGACTGATGGAGTTCTTGTTTTCGGCTTGAATGTTATACTTCAACTTTGCTATGGATCCATCGGATGGCTCGAATCATGAAATGATTCCGTTACGGAACTATTCCGTCGGAGTCGTAACCGTTAGATCATCATGTAACTGTCAGGAATAGTTGATTAAATGGTTACAAACCTCGACGGAATGATTCCGTATCGAGATCATAGCATTTTCTTACGTTAGACATTCATTCTCATTTAAGGTGCCAAGTAAATTGAAAATTTGAATATGTTAGATAGTCAGACACGTCCTTTGGTAGTTAATTAACTGATTGCATTTTTTGGATTTGTAAAAATCGGAAACTCGTATCTTTTATTGCAAAAATTGAAAAGTTGTTGAATCAAAAACAAAATAATATTAAAATTTAATATCTAATTTACCGAAATTTACAATTTTTTGACCTTGTATCCCAGTTTGTATCATACATGACATTCTTGTAATTAGAATGGTTTAAAAAAAAAAAAATGGAGTTACAAATTCAATCAGTTGCTTATATCATTGGAACGAAGATGGTATTAATATTTGAATAGAGGATCCTACCCGGCTCGATTCCGAATTAGTCGATTTTCTTGTGGATTCGGAAACTGGAAGGTCCCTGTACCAAAAAAAATATATATATATTTGAATAGAGGATTGTTATTTTACTTCGATTGTTGCTACAATAGGTGTGAAAAGAATACTTATTTTCAACAACTGTATAAATCATATTTAGTGAGACTGTTTGTGCTGGATAAAATTCTCTAGAGACTGAAAATTAAATCTAAATTTAATAAATGAAATACAACTGCCAAAAATAAAATAAAATAAAATAACATAGAGCACTAAAAAGTTGAGGAAAAAAGCATACATAAATAAAACCTAGAAGAGTAGGAAAATTGGGTTGACCAAACAAGAAATAATGACACCGCCTATCTCTTTGTTAAGACAATTTATATAATTAACCCCACTTATTATTTGGACAAAATTATTCCTTTTGTTTTCCATATATACTCTTTACATGGTTTTTAATTTTTTGGTCTTTTTTAGTTTTATATCTTTTTTTTATTTTATTATTTTTCATTTTAGTTAGTTTTTTATAGTAATTGTAAATGGTCACGTCTTTTAAAGTGGGTTTCTGACAGTTTTTTTTCCAGGAGAACTGCTTTATTCTTGCGTGACGTTTCTAATATCCTTATGTTCCTTTCATCTTCATTATTTTGTCTTCTATTTACTTCTAAATTTTTTATTCTATGTTTCGTATAGCCTTCTATCCTTCGATTTCTTTTGCTTTGCTCTGTTTTTTTTTTCTAGTTTCAATGACTTAAATCCAATGTCAAAGGCGAGGTTCTTGTCGGCGACTACCGAGTCGAAGGCGGCGTCGAGGATGGTGGTGGGCAGGCCGCTGAAGGGGGCGGAGGCGGGCGTGAGGACCCGCGTGGCCCTGCGGGATCTCGCAGTGGTGAATTTTCGGGAAGGTCTTGTGGTTCCGCCTCAGGAGGCGGCGGTGGATGAGATGAACGCGGTTGTTCAGGGCAGGAAGAGCGCTGGCGTATTGTCGGGCCGGGGGGGTTAGTATGCTGGCCTCCGTTGAATAGCTTTTGGTTAAGGGATGAAATCACTTGCCGCCATTTGACGACTCGCGGATCTGAGATACCACAATTCGACCACCTCCAATTGACCCAATTTTGATCGTGTTGGCACTATAATTCTATCTATATAAACCGCCGATGGATTCCAATTGCCTAAAATAGAATGATTTCAGTACTTATTAATTTTTTTTTCTTTTTATTTTATTTTGTGAGATTTAATTTACAAATGACTTTGAATGATAGGATCGGATCCTCATGCGGGATATTATCTGGACCCAGATGCTAGAGTAGAAGAGTCCCTTTTTATTTTTTCTAAGGGAGTTTATTGTTGTTTTGGTGTTGATTGGATGTGTATGTTTTGTTACTGTACGATAAACTTTATTTTGATTGAAAGACAATTTCAAAATTACTGTCTTTGCATGTGCAATTCTCGTTCAATTTTTTTATTCCAGGTTCTCTCATTTTTTTTAAGAAATATGACCAAACAAAAATAACAATATGAACTGCAATTTGCTAAAAATAAATATTAAATAAATAATAAAATGTAACACCACCGTCACATTACAAATACGATCAATTAACTTCAGAACAACACTAGATTAACTTAAAAACATAAAAAAAATCCAATAAAACATTACTTACGACTTGTCCAAGGAACATTTTTTTTTTCGTCTATCATTATCGATTTTGACCTTCAATGTTTCTTTTTTGTTTTGCTTTTTTGATACCAACTTTTTATTTTTTCGGATTCTTTTTCTGAATGAATCGAGATTTTTTTCTGAATGGTTTGTGTTATTTAATTATTTTTTTGTTTATGTTAGTTGTAAGTAGTTATTTTTTAAATTCAAAATTGTTGCCTTACCTTTTTTTTTTAATTTTGTATTTATTTATTTTTTTTTAATGTTTTTCATTTTTCCTAATTGTGTCCATGGAGTATATTTGAAAATCTGGTTCCCACCAAACAACTAAACAAATAGTGGGCTCTAACTCTAAATAATTAAACCCGGAGTGGGCCTTTACCATCTTGGTCCAGCAAGCTTGTCAACCTCGGTTCTCTGGTCCGTCATCCTGTACGCCACGGCCCAACTCCATAATCAAGTACACGATCGACTAAAACTCCATAATCGGGTACATTATAGCTAACCTCTCGGCTCAACTCTATAATCGGGGTACATGATAGTCCACCTCCCGACCCAACTCCATATATCAGGTACAATTACCAATACTCCTTCTCGAAAGAGTCTCGTCTCCGAAACTCACATGTTGAACTTGTACTATCCAATTGCCCACTCAAATCAAATGACTAAAATCCCGAAACCCATTGTGATTGGGCCCAGTCCAAATGCCATAAAATGAAGCACCACCACCAAATGACCCAGTCATATGCAGATGTTGGCCCATAAATTATCCCACTTTTTTCAGACGGCACAGTTCTTGCACAGAACTTGATATCAACAGCTCTCTTTCAAAATTGGTTCTCAATGGATTTTTTTTTTCTTTTTTTTTTCAGCCGTTTCATGATCGGAAAACTTACCTTGATTACACACATAATCGGCATCGATTATGGTTGAATGAAAGACCCACGAAGGTGCACAGATTTACTTTCCATTTTTGGGAAGTTTGTTTATTTGGATTATTATAAAACTGAAGGACTTGGTAAAATTGTGAATAATTTTTGCTATCTCATTTTTTTCGGTATTAGCGTTTTTTTTTTTTTTTTTTTTTTT